GATACTAAGATGTCCCACTATGATGTATTATTATGTTACTATTCATACCAAGATGTATCATTTATTCCCGCTATGATGTATTATTATATTACCATTGATACTAAGATGTCCCACTATGATGTATTATTATGTTACTATTCATACCAAGATGTATCATTTATTCCCGCTATGGTGTATTTTTATATTACCATTGATACTAAGATGTCCCACTATGATGTATTATTATGTTACTATTCATACCAAGATGTATCATTTATTCCCGCTATGGTGTATTATTATATTACCATTGATACTAAGATGTCCCACTATGATGTATTATTATGTTACTATTCATATTAAAATGTCTTATTTATTCCCACAGTGATGTTTTTAGTATTACTATTCATACCAAGATGTACTATTCATTCACACTATTAAGTATTTTATATTGCTACTAGCAGAGTACCCTGTCCTGATTTCTGCTGTGTGGTCAAGTGTTGTTTGCAGCTTATTCTGACTTTATTAGCTTTCCATTTAATGAAGAATTGACTTATTCTCGTTTTGTTGCAACATAATTTTAATGAACATTTGCCGATATCAAACGTTTTTGTCAAGTCATCAAATAGCTGATTCTTGCGAGTTCACGCAAGCCAAGCAAAAGATATGGCTGAAGCAAGCCTATTTAGTCGCGCACGTTCGAGAGAAAGCACCAGCCTTTTTCAGTTAAGGGGAATTAGAGAGTAGGTATGTATGTGTATAAGAAAGAGAGTTAGAGGGAAAGAACACAAACGAAGACTCCACGAAGTTTGTAAATCGTTTTAACACATAATTGATCATGGATAGAATGATTAGAAGTCCTCACACAGAGAAGAAATGTAAATAATGGTCCTTTTGATGACACATTACCAAAACAAACAAAAAATCCGGCCTTTTCAATTTAAGACCACTTGGTCGTACTGTTTGCCAAAATTTGCTATATTGGTCACTTTGGTCTCAAAATGGCCTCTGAGGCTGCAGCCACGTAGCCCATGTTACTTCCAACACAAAGTTATATCTGTACCCCGAATTTGTAGTTTTAAAGATGTGGCCATTATATATATATAAAGCCCAATATTGTCACCCAGTTTTGTTCTTTCGATTTGCCCTTGTCGAGGGTTATTACCCCAAACCGGTACCCTCAATGACAAGTGGCGAATCGAAAGATAGATGGGGCTTCATACTTTAAATGGCTTGTGGGCTAAATAATTCAGAAAAACTACATTAGTTGTATCAATTCTACATATTCTTCAAATCCAATATCAGTATATTGACTGTGATGAGAAAAAAACAACAACTGGGAACACTATATATATTATTGAAAGTTCATTGAGAATAGGCGTGTGGTTTGAAGTCGAAGTAACATCAATATTAATACCAAGATTAACCCTCACCAACACACACATGGACACCAACGACTTTTTCGGTTGTATATTTTTTTACATAATCACTACAAATATATATCAATTCATGTAATTGTCAAACAAAAACCCTGGATCAATATGGCACTATTGTTTCAAGACAGGCAGATGGAGTACGTAGCTATAATCTTATATTTATCTGGGGCCCACATACAATCATTGACCTTCACCATACATACAAACGCTCTATAGCAAACAAACCAAATTTCTAAACGTTTATTTCGCTATATAGATTGTTATAGATGATAATCCATCAAATTAGTACATTTGGTCTGTTTGTTTGTAACATCATTGTGGTAAACATGTATATGCATCTCATACCTCAACAAATGTTCTCTGTAATGACTGCTTATAATATTCTGTTGTATAGAAACCTTGTTTGATAATTGTTGTAAATAACCTACTTATTGGATTTTCAACCCGTAGTCCACTATTAGGATACATCTGTGTTGGGGTCTGGCGACCCACAACGTACACTTTGAGTTGAATGTTACAGTATTGTGGTAACCTCGTCATATATTGATGGATAATGACTTGAACATTTTTTGGTACACTGTTTGTATAAGGAATGGTTTAATACTACTTCTTTGTATATTGAGGAACAATGTAATTTTGTATTTTATTGATTTGTCAACATATTTCCTCTAGAATACATACACTGTTGTTCACATTGTATGCTAACCCTAATAAAAGTTGTAATGTAATTGGTTTTTGGAATTTCAATCCAGAGCTTACTATAATGGTAATTTTGTGCCGGGGTCCAACTTTTTAAAGATATGTTGATTAGGGTTAAAATTTGTAATAATATTATAACTCCATGTTTATTATTCATGTTTATTATCCATGTTTATTATGTTTATTATTCTTTAATTGGACACTCAACGTTCCAGACGTTTATTACTAGTATTAAAATGTCTTTTATACACCATTCTGCAGAAATTAAATATTACAAGATCACTTCCCTCTTTCCAAACAGTTGCATAAAACCTCAAATTCGAACCTTGATCTATTACTTTATTTACGTCTTATACAATTCATGGAATGTACACCAATTTCTCGTGATTTTATTGAAAATAATCTTACTGCATTTGATTCGACATACATAAAGCCTTCTCACTATATTACATTGAAAAATTAACTTAGTGCAGCTGAACAATAAGTTACTATTAAAGAAGAAATGGAATCGGAAACGAATGCTTCAAATTACAGGAAGTTTGTGGAAAACGGAACAAAAAAAAAACCGATACATCCGAATACATTTATTTACACACAGGCAAACAATAAAGTCTTACGTTTCTAAATCTTGGACCTTTTCTCAGAAACAAGGAGCTTAATTGTATGGAGCAATAAATAATAAAGGCCAGTGATGATGGATTATTTCTCAGACAATAAGAAAAAAAATTAAAACATTTGGGATTAATTTGGAAAGACTATCAGTGGAAGAAATTATAATTTTATATATATATATATATATATATATATTTATATCCGGGAAGTAAACACTGAATTTCCAGCAACAATAGGGAATCGGTAACAATAATACTGAACCAGGACTTCATTGTTCCTTAGAACAGGCCCAGCATGGCCAGGTGGTTAGGGCACTCGCCTCGCAATCTGAGGGTCGCGGGTTCGAATTCCTGTTCCACCAAACATGCTCGCCCTTTCAGCCGTGGGGGCATTATAATGTGACGGTCAATCCCACTATACGTTGGTAAAAGAGTAGCTCAAGAGTTGGCGGTGGGTGGTGATGACTAGCTGTCTTCCCTCTAGTCTTACACTGCTAAATTAGGGACGGCTAGCGCAGATAGCCCTCGTGTAGCTTTGCGCGAAATTCAGAACAAGTAAAAACTATTAAGTTTTGTAATACACTGTCTTACAACACCGTTATTTAAAAACAATGATTTGAACGGGGCAGTGTATTCGTTATGTGTAAAATAACTTCATGGTGTACTATGAATATTCACGTTTGACTTTTCAAACTTATACGTACTTAAACATCCTAATTCTATGGGATTAAAAACATTTATGTCGGTACATATTTGTTTGATAAATAAGTACAAAACAGTAATTATTAAACACACTATTTTATTTTTCTACCTTGGTAAATTTGATTATTAATTTTTGATATAAATCATGTTAACTACAGAATTTTCCCTTACGTTCCTCTTAGTTTGTTTATTGCGGATTCAAAATCAGGTAAACGTAAAAATTGAGTATTAGATCCATCTATTGCCTCCAACAAGTCACTGCCCAAGAGGCCTTTCGTTCAACACTAGGGCTCACCTGTTGGTTTCTAATGCTTTTTGTGTTTAAACCATAACTTTTAGTGTTATATTGTATATATAAATAGTGTTTTAGGGAATCTTCTGTCTTTCATCATCCAGCCTGTGAGACAGCGAATTCTTCTGTTTTTTGTTTTTTTTGGTTCTGATTCTATAGTTTATCTATGAATTTTTGGTTACGTTAAAATGTTAACTCACCTTCTAGCTGATCACGTTTGTTTTAGGTAAATATGTAAGTATTATGAAACTGACACCAGCTTTTCTAGTGAGTGACGTACAAATATTATTAATGTAGAAAAAAATTATGTAAATTTATGATCACATGAGATGTACTCTCATGACCTAACAGAGTGAATAAATCCCCTGCCATAAACTGAATCACGAGATAATTAGTGAATTATAAGTTTGTCACTTGATATTGTTATTAACATAGAAAAGTGATTTTGGAATAGTTTTTGCTTGGGGGGGGGGACAGGTCTTTTCTTCTTCTGGTTCTTTTTCCTGATTCTATTATTTGAAATAGTTTGGATATTTATGTTTTAATGATCATTAACATTAGAATGAAGCCCTGGTCAGATACGCGTTTATTAACTGTTTTTTGGTAATTGCTAAATGTTATTCCATGTGTTGTTACAGTTTAATAAGTTGTTTTATTGTTGTTGAACCCCGGTTCTAGTGACATGTTATTTTAGACCGTTACAAGCCCAACTATCAAGTTCTCATACTGAACAAAAGGCTTTTCGGGCAGAGACCTGAGGGAGACTAAAGACAGATTTCAAATGCTATTTTTACATGCCTCTAATTTTGAATCCATAATGGACAAAGGAATGTGGAAAACAAATCTGTAGTTCTATTCCTATTGGTTGTTTATCCCTCCCATTTCGGCAATGCTACATTATAAAAAACATTATGACCTTGTTAAATCAAACTGTCAGTTCTATCAGAGTGAAAACACTCGTAAAAACACATCAAATTATATTATAAGAGAACAAAACTAATTAGTAACTAATAAGTTGCATTGAAAAAAAAAAACCTTTCTGTGAGAAATAATCTTTTTTTTTTGAAAACACAAATTAGAACTTTAAGTCTCAATTTTTGATTTCATTTATCCCCATCCTCTTTCGTCGCTTCAATAAAACCAACATGATCAGTCCAAAACTTAAACATCTAAAAACCATATCAGAATCTAAATAGTTATTTGTGAATATTTTTTAAGGTAGCCATTTGGCCACACACACACACACACCGGGGTACCTTTAAAAAATACAAATACTAAAGATGTCAGTTATATTAAGGCTGAGTAGATGTGTTCAGTATGAAACTAGTTATAATACTTATTAAACTTTCTGATAATAAGTGACTAGCTTCTTTACTGAAAACAAGAAATTAATACAATAAAACACCCTTTGTGAGAAGTCATCTGGACTGCTATTAAACTAGTGAACAAGGAGTAAACTTGTGTTCCTTCCTCTGATAAACCACTGGTACAATAAAACACCCTGTGTTACAAGTCACCTGGGCTGCTATTAAACTAGTGAACAACGAGTTAACTTGTGTTCCTTTCTTTGATAAGCCATCGGTACAATAAAACACCCTGTGTTACAAGTCATCTGGGCTGCTATTAAACTAGTGAACAACGAGTTAACTTGTGTTCCTCTATTCTCTGATGTTCTTCACTGTGGTCCACTTGTTACTGAATATTTATCTTTTATATCTTGTCTGCTAAATAATTAACAAGTATTAATTAGAAAAAACGACACATGTTTTCCACACAAGTTCACTGTGGTAAGTAAAAAAATCGCATCAGATATACGTTCCACAGCAGCCTTGATCTTTTGATTTGCCCTTATAGAGGGTTGCTAATGAGGCGTGGAATTCCCCCAAACCAAAATAACTCAGTAACAAGTTGTGAAGCTAATAAACAATTAAACTTAATATTTAGTTTGCGTACTTTTACTAGCTTGTCTGCTAAATAAATCAAAAGAAATAAATTTTAGCATCAGTGCCATGTATTTTTTAAATGTTAGGCTAATATAAGTTCACTGTAGCGAGTAAAAGATAACTCAAAACATCGTACACTTATCAAGTAAATAAAAAATTTCCTGTCCTCAACATGTAAAACAAAGGTCACAGGATTCACGTAGCAAGAATTTTCGAAGTCCCAAAAGTTCCATTTCCTTTACTACCGAGACAAATGTTCGCTTCCTAAAAAGAAGTTAACAAATCAATTTCTCAGAAACCTCAGTAGCAGTTCTCTGGCTCTGTGTAGCTGTATAATTAGATATCTTTCTTTCAAAGTCTAAGCATGTCCTCGTACGCTGACATAGTGCCAACCACCCTAGAAAAGTAAAAAAAAAAATACATAAACCAAAAGTCAAACTAGATTTTTTGGCTTGTTGCATTAAAACATCAAATATCAACACAGACTGAACTTGATGAGTTGACCAATTGAAAGGGAAAAAAAAAATTCATATTCATTGGCTATCTAATAAGAGTAACAATTTATTGATTATCACAAGCAGTTTATTACAAGATGAATCCTTGTGGTTAAGTTTAATGTTTTATAACCAATCAGCTACAAAACAGAAGAGTATAAGTTAGTCGGCCTCTAACAATTTCATCAATGAAGTATATTCACAAGTACAAAATTTATCTCAAAGTTGTGTCTTATTTTGGCACTGTAAGCTATAAGAACTAATATACTTTTAAAACGTTTTCCAAAAATGACCAATTTCACCAACTCTAAATCTATTTACATCTGCATTATTTCAGAAAATGTAATAGAATTATTCCTAACTGGACAAAAGTGTACAAACTATTGTGCTTTATTTGGATTTTTTTCATTTAACAGTCCCCATTCTAGTGTCTAATAACAAGGGTTGTAATAGATTATTTATAGTGTCTAATAACAAGGGTTGTAATAGATTATTTATAGTGTCTAATAACAAGGGTTGTAATAGATTATTTATAGTGTCTAATAACAAGGGTTGTAATAGATTATTTATAGTGTCTAATAACAATGGACGTAATAGATTATTGATAGTGTCTAATAACAATGGACGTAATAGATTATTGATAGTGTCTAATAACAACGGACATAATAGATTATTGATAGTGTCTAATAACAATGAACAAAATACATTATTTAGTGTCTAATAACAACGGACGTAATAGATTATTCATAGTGTCTAATAACAACGGACGTAATAGATTATTCATAGTGTCTAATAACAATGAACAAAATACATTATTTAGTGTCTAATAACAATGAACAAAATACATTATTTAGTGTCTAATAACAACGGACGTAATAGATTATTCATAGTGTCTAATAACAACGGACGTAATAGATTA